TACATATATAAATACATAGACATGTCTGAGAACGCATTAACATCTATTACATTTAGGTAAGTAAGTAGTTACATACTTCCCTTTTATCGATTAGTATTATTGATGATCGATCGATCGATCGATCGATCGATCGATCGATGTATCAAAGAGCGAAACTTGCGCATGATCGAAAGATGCGCATGCATTCACGTTCTCCCGGCGAACGGAAGTTGAATGATCGTCTGGAATGCTGAGCGAACAGGTTCGTCGTCATTGAGATGATGATGATGATGCTCGGTCACCCTTCTCAGGATTTCTTGATCGCTCTTTATTTATTCCTTTGATTATAATGCGACGATCGTACGTTTTAATGAGTTTCCAAAGGGATACGCGACAAAAAGTTTTAATATCGCAAATAATTTCATATTGATCAACAATATTAATAACAATTATTTAAATTAATAATAATAATTTTTATAATAATAATTTTATATATATATATATATATTATTATTAATATCAACAATAATAAATTATGTTTATTGGAATATTTTTACATTTTTATATAATTGATATAAAATTGATGATATAGCTTTTTATATGATATAATCATATAAAGAGCTATATAATTTTATCTTATATTCTCGATAATATAGAATTTTACCGTAACTCTATCCAATTATTACAAAATTTATCTAATACTCTATCTGTTCCAAATTCTTCAATAGATTACTTTAAGATATGACGAATTTGGTTGGATTTGTTCTAAGTAAACTTTCAATCGTACGAAATTTAACGATGAACTTTTCTTCAATATTATAAATTTTCATTATCACTCATCCCTTCAAATTAAATCATTTTATTGTTCTTGATAACATTTCCATGAATGTTGCAATTAAAAAAAAAAAAAAAAAAAAAAAAAGAAAAAAGAATAATAATAATAATATCTACTTTCGAAGAAAAAAAAATATATATACATATATATTCAATTACTATAATTCTAAAGGAAGGAAGGAAGAATAGAAAAAAAAGAATGCAATTACATGCAATCACATACTTTCTAATCATCTTTCTATATATCTATCTAAACATATTAGTATAGATAACTACGATAACGAGTAACGCAACAACTGCAATGAATCATGAAGTCATTGATCGAAGAAAAGAGAATGGCCAATGCAGAAATCGACGATAGATAGTTAATAAAAGGTCAAATCGTTATAATTCAGAAATTATAATGTACATTGATTGAAAAGGATCTGTTATTATTTAAACACTAACAACAATAATAATAATAAAAATCGATGAACAACAACAAATACAACAAAATTTCTTATATATATATATATATATTCTGATCGGATAAAATACGAAGGTCCGTAATTCGGGCAGCACCGGGCATAAAACTTTCCGATTCCGTAGATTTACGATTCTCCACGTAGGGACGAGTCTCCTTGAGTTATGGCATACCGTAGGGGCCCCTTTGGTGCATTTGCAAACCCGTTGTACCCGTTGCATCGTATAGGTAGATAGGTAGGTAAGTAGATAGGTAGGTAGGTAGGTAGGTAGGTAGGTAGGTAGGTAGGTAGATACATATATATATATATATGTAAGCATTCGAGCAGGTTTTGCTTGCGTTACACTTCATATTTGCTAGGGTGCATTCGAGTGGTATACTATGACTACTTCGAAAAGTAAGAAAAGCCGCGTTATCATCGACACCGTACTCAGCTCCTCTCTGTCTCTCTCTCTCTCTCTCTCTCTGTCTCTCTCTCTCTCTCTCTTTCTCTCTCTCTCACAACGCTCGCAAAAGACCTGTCTGCCTTCGCAAATCACTTTTTCTGACATTACACGTTACCTTTCCACTTCGTGTCGGTACGAACGAAAAGAGATAGAGAGAAAGAGTTAGAGAGAGACAGACAAAAAGAGAGAGAGAGAGAGAGAGAGAGAAAATGAAAGAGAGAGAGACTCGGACTCTCTCACTCATAACAAAAAACGAATGAACGATATTTCGTTGGGTAGCAAGCGGCACTAAACGTTGCATTCTCCTCTGCAGAGACCTCCGTGAGTGAACAACCTCCCCCTTTGCTCCCTTTTTATTACTTCCCTACGTCGAAGGAACATTTACTGCTCGTTCTTTTTTTCTGTTTTTTTTTTTGTTCATTTTTCTTTTTTTTTTTTTTTTTGCTTTGCTTTTCTTCTCTCCTCTTCTCTTTCTTTTCTCTCATCTCCCGACTTTCCTTTTATTTTCACCCTGACGATTTAACGCTACACGCGCATTATGCACATGTACGTATTTATGTACGAATGTGGTATTGCTTTTTTCTTTTTTTTTCCTTTTTTTTGCTGTTGTTGCTAAAACGTAAAGTTTCGTTTTTCGATCTACGATGTATGTTTCTTTCTTGATTTTTACTTTTTTTTTATTTCTTTATTTTTTCTTTTCTTTTTTTCTTTTCGAATTTCCAATCGAGATGATTAGAGTATTAAATATTATTTCGTAACTGGTGGTATATTGCAGGAA